TTTTAATCTGACTCCTTTTAAAATGATATTGGGCATATAAAAGTTGTCCGTCAATCAGTTGGTGGATTTTCACCTTGGAAGCAGTTTCTTTCTTATTTCTCATTCTTCCCTGAGGAGCAGAGAAGCAAAGGCTTTCTCAGGATCACAGTAGTTCACAAACCAGAAAGGGAACACACAGTTATTGTGCACCTGCTGTCCACATGCTCCTTCCTAAGCAAGCTCCTAGTGCACTATAACTCCTTCAGCCCTCCCAGGCACCCTCTCAGGTAGCTGTGGTGTCTCATGGCGGAGCCGAGGGCACTGAGGATCAGCGGGTCCCTTCACTGGGCCCAGACTCCTGGCCACTGGCACGTGGGACACTGACCTCTCCTGGGCCTCACTGCCTGGCTCAGGCTGTGTCCTGTCCTCTCAGCAGTCGGACCATCAGTGACTCAGAGAGGATGTTGCTCACATTTTTCTCTTTGCCCTAACCAAATGATTGGCAACTATCTTAATCTTCAGCAGAAAGTTGCCAGAGGGCTGCAGAGGACCCCTGTGGTCCCTCACTCAGACCTGCCAGCTCCGAGTCCCTCTGTGCACTGTGTCCCAAGGGCAGAGCCGGCGGCTCCCCGGCCCCTCCAGGTGGAGCCACAGCTCCACGGGGCTCTCTCTGGGGATCAGCCAGGGTGAGAGTCCACGCCGCTCCCCACTCCTGCCCCCAGGTCACCTGCTGTCACGATGGGTCCAGGTAGGCCTTGAATTTGGCTGTGCTGAAGCCATGGAAAACTGTGGAGCTCTATCTCAGAAACACTGACCGCTGGGTGTGGGTTCCCGTGAAGAGGATGAGTGAGGCTCAGACACGTGACTCAGATATGTGTCTGAGATGTTTGTGAGTGTGTGATATGGCCCAGTCCTGGGAGTCCATTGTTCACAATGGGCCAGGAAAGGCCAAATCCCCACAGATGGATTGAGATGAATGATTAGAATATCTCACTATACCGGATCCATCCTGCGTCTGTGTTCGCATGGTAACCTGAGAACAGTGTGAATAGCCATTATGGAGCCATTCGGATATCAGTAGTCAGGTGTACCCCGTCCTCTCTGTACAAGGAGAAACCCTGCAGAAACAACACAAACACTTGATTTTTAAATTACATCTTGATCTTCTATTGGAGGCTCTTCCCCACACTAACAATACTGGGCAGTATTGTTGATGATTGATAAAATATTTGGTTATTATATATTCTGACAATGCAAAGAATATTCAAAGCATAGGTTTAATAAAACCCATTCGCAAGAGGGGCAAATAACATTGGATGATGAAATTACACAATGCTAATTAAAAACAATCCTAGACATCGATTTATAATAACATTGGAGAATAAGGGGATACATAGTTTTGACAGTTCTTTCAAACAACAAATTTGTTGATATACAAGGATTTACTCTTCATCCCAATGTGAATTATCATAAAATCTGAATAAGTGTCCTGAAACATGATGATTAATGTTTAATGAAGTTTGCCTGGTGGAAATATGAAGGGTACACCAGACTGAGAGAAGTGGTTTTGGAAAAAGCCCTGGAAGCTCACAGAGGCTCCTGGTACAGGGCTGGGGTCAGAAAGGGGCCAGCCTGAGTCCTAGGAGGATGTGCAGAGGGAGTTGTGGGAAGTGATGTTGCAGACGAAAGAGGGACAGAAGACAGGAGCACTGGAAAGGCGGGTGAGGAGGTTCAATCTGTGTAGCAGGGAAGGGAGGATGAATTTCCATAAACTGAGGCACATGTGATAAAACAGGCTTGGGGGGTGATAAGCCAGGTGACCTTTGAGAGTCTGGAGAGGACGGAATCAGAGAAAGCAGTTGGAAGGAGGTTGGATGAATCTTTGATGAGAGTCAAAGTCAGATGCTCTCTGGAACACTAAGAGGTAACAGACACATGAGAGACAGTTAGAGAAACAAACCTTGTTGAGGGTGTGGATGCATAAGGAGGTGAGAGGAGAGCCCCACAGCAATGGAGAGCAGGCCCTGGCGGCCGTGACCTCACAGCAGCCTGACCTGCACCAGAGGAGGGTACTTCGTGCCTTTGGTTAGCCCAGGTTCTGAGAATGTGTACTCATTTCGCAGTAGAAATATATAAACACATTTCATTATGAGCACTGTCAAGGCACCAGTAGAGGCACATGTATTGAAGGAGTGTACTTATATAATCTGTTTAAAGAGACACAAAGGTGTTTCCAACAGGGTCTCAGCCCTCTCCCCCACTAGTTCTAGCTGCTAATACCATCCATCGCCATTCTGCCCCCACGTGGGAATAGATTTTATTCTATATGTACATGTACGGGTGAGTGGAAGGGTAGACAAAAGTTTCAAGCAAGGAAGTTCCAAAGGGTCTGGAATGTACTGTATTTTCCCAGCTCAAATTCTAGTAGGACCTGAAGCTTTCACGCCATATGTCTCTTCCTGTTCTTTTACTCCTGTGAGTAGATATCAAAAACTCTTTCTCCCCCATGCCTAGAGGCTTGTGTGGAACCTTCTCTCTAGGCTCCAACACTAAGGCTAATAACAGAATAAGAGGCTTGACCTCCTGTGTCACCCAAACCCTCTTGACTCCAGTGGGTGATTTCTCATTTCAAGAAATTGCAGCATAACACCTGCCTTCTCTGCACCCCAGTCCCAGCCATAAATATGGCGCCTTCTTCACATTGATGTCTGCCATTGTTGTCTGGGTTATTGGCTGGTTTCACTTATGGGCTAGGACAGCAGAAATGGGCACTCTGGGAGGGCTTAGCAAGAAAAAGCGTTCATCGGTTCTACTGAACCCTCTTTTCCTTTCAGGTGACACCTGCGAGGACTCTCAGCAGGAACCTGTGAGTTTCCCAGCGTCAGAGGTGCCAACTTCACAGGCACAGCTTCAGAAAAGCACCCACGTGACCGAGTGTCTGCAGTGGCAGCTGGACCAGCATCTTGACTGTGGTGACAGCAAACCCATTCTTGGTCTTTGTTCCACCAACAGGGCCTTTACCCCCAACCCTGATTCTGGAAACCAAGGACCACTCTTTCTCGGTAAGAAAGAAAAGGGGATTAGAAAGCTCTGGTCCATGTGCAGGTCATCACAAAGCTGTGGGTGGAGGAGGCAGAGGGCCTCTCCCAAACACGCTGTCGGCCCAGTTGAAACCCGTGACCCTCTACCAGAGTGAGGTGATCAAGAGCCTGGGATTTAAGACCAGCTCAGCCTCAGGCCCTGGTTCTGCAAACTTCTGCTTCTTTAACTGAGCCAACTTATTCATCTTCCTAGGATTTGCCTCTCTCGTCCCTCATCTGAATTCTTGAAAAATTCTATCTGCTTTGCATGATTGTTGGGAATCTTCAACAATATAATATACAGGGCATCTGATTCGCTAAAATTTGTTTGATAACCACTATGAATATATAATATCTAAGCATTGTGTCTTTCTGGTGCTTTCACGCTTAAAAATGATTGCACAATGGTTGTTTCCTCTATGGTAGCATAAGCTTTATGGTCTCTGCTTTCTCTAAACCTCAACTTCCCTTGCTTTCTCAGGAAGGTACCTTGGCCAGTATTTTCCTCTCCTTTCAACATCTTTCATCAAGGCAATTTCCTCCTGTTATGTGCTCCCATTAACAGTGTATTAGGAGCATGCAATAGGAGTGTAAACACTGGCCCTGCAACTCAGTCCCATGTTTGCTCTTCATATCCAGTTTCTTTTCCTCATTTTCCCCTCATTTTAAAATAAAGGGCTACCCTCATTCTTGAAGTTCACCCATCAGTTTCTTTTATGACACTCCATTTAATTCATTCTCTCCACTCATCTCCTTTTCCCTCTCCTAGTCTTCCTCTCCTCTGGATCCACCTCTGTTCAAATTTCCCTCAAAGAGCTTTCAGACCCTCACATCCATTTCATCTGGGACGTATTCATCCTTACCCTCCATCACTCTCCATGTCCTCCACTGGAGCCTGGGGCTGCCTGGTGCTCCTCCCTCAGGCTGTGGCTTCCAGTGAGGATCCAGGAGAGACCCACGTCCTCAGGTGGAGCTGAGCTGAGAAGGAGCCCCCTGGTGCAGCGTGCAGAGTCTCTCGGAAAGTGCTCAGCGGGGAGGGGTGGAGAGCCTGACAAGAGCCAGTAGGTCTTGTGGTGTTTCTTGTCTCCTCTTCCGCTTGTGCCTCCTTTTCCTGTTCTTGGTCTCCCCCATTCTCAGCCAAGACTGAACCCCACTGGCTCAGTCACTCTGTTTCCTGCTCACCTTCCATGGAGACCTGAGCATAAATCCAGGCTTCACAGCAGATTTTGCAGCAAAGGGTAGTCTTAATGCCCTTTGCTTTCACACCCCCTCACACTGTGGCTCCCACCTGCTGCCCCATATCTCCTAGTTCCTGTCACCAAATAGAGCTTCTTTCCCATTCTTCTTATTTTTCTATTTTCGTTTCCAAATTCAACTCATCAGGAAGCCAATAGAACAATCCATTCAATAGCTCAAATCCTTCATTCATTTATTCCATCACAAACACACTCACCTGTGAGTTTTCTTCCATTTTTATCATATCATCTATGCCTTATATAAATTATGAATAAATATCATATGTAGTGTGTTTCCATATCTATGAAGTGTATATTGATGCACATTTAAAAGTTTTCCAATTTAGACTTCCCCACTTCTTTTCTCTCATGAGCTTTTCCTTCAACTTTGACTTTGCTTCATCTCTTCCCTCCCAACAGTACAAACTGCATGCTGGAGGAGTTTCTTGCCTTTGTCTTTTCTACCTAGGAATTTTTTGTTGTCGTCCATTTTATTTTCCTTGGCTCATTTCTGGCATTTGGAAACACGTTTTCCCTGTGGCACCCTTAACAATACTGGGTAGTACAAGGAAGATTAGCAAAAAAGAAAATATAAAACTATCTCCACTGGCTTCACCTACCCATGGGCTTTCAGATGGCGTTTCTTGTTCCTGGACACTTTTGGTACCTGATGTCCTTCTTGGGTGAAGGAGTAAGTCTTTGTAAGTCATGAATAACAATGGATCCTGTTGGCTGTGGTTTTCTCTTCAGAGCTGGATGCTTCCATCAGAATGAAGAACCCTCCCAAGCTGGAAGGTGAGGGCTCCACAGCAAGCACACATGAGCAGCCAGTCTGTAAGAAGATTAAAGGCTTAAGTGGCCTGAAACAGAAGATTCTCAGTAGAAAAGTGCTGTTTGGCAAGTGGAGACTAGCGTTCAGATTCCCTGGCCTTCAGGCTTAGGGTACAGAGGTAATCCCATGCACTTCTTCCTTATGCTCTTTATCTGTCATGGCTCAGTCTCCCACTAAGTTTTCTCTTCCTCATTTGTTCACTCAACAGCTGACACAGCTCTGTGGTCTTTCCTCTCTTTTCCGTGGGGGCTGCCACCCTGCAGTGCCCTTCCCTCTCACTCTCCTGTGTCCACTCTGACTCTACTGTTTCCGCTCTGCTACCGTCCTCATGTTCCCTCTGACCTTTCCTATCAGCCACAGGGAAGCCCAGATCCATGGTCCTTCTCATCAGAAGAGCAGCATTTAAGCCACTGAAAACATTGGCCTTCAATCACACACATTCTTGGTTTCTTCACCTGACTTTCCCCCCTGCCTCCAAGTCTACTGCCTCTTGCTTTCAGGATCATGTCTTAAGGAATCACTCACATGTGAGTTGGCTTCTGGAGAAATGCACCTAGGACAGTCCTTAACCCTCAGCTTTTCCACCAGAATAAGAAATGCCAGAACTGAAGGAAAAAGCCTTCATTACTAAAATAAAGGAGAACCTGGGTCATAGGTGGGAGTGCTCTACTGGCCTAAGTCATGATTCCCCCCAGGCCCTGATGTGCAGAACTTGGCTAATGTGCAGGGGCTTCCAGGAACTCACTGGAGCTGGCATTAGGGGGAGGGCAGTAAATGGCTCCCTAAAGGGACCTTGGGGAAAAGGAGATAGAGAAGTCAGGTTTTCAAAATACACAGGGCCTGAGATGGACAGGGCTCAGACCTCCCCAGTTTTACTCACATTATTCCGTCTCAGTATTAGTCAAAGCCCAGAAAAATGAACTGAGTTGAAGTCTGAGGTCAGGGAATGTAGGACAGAATTATACTGAATTAACTTGCGCCACATTTATGAAGACCCAGGGAGATACACAAGAATACAAGATAATCATTGCTTCTGACCATCCAATTGAGAAGGCCAATTATATATGAGAGTAACAGAAAAAGACCAAAAAATCCTTAGGGCCAGTGGAGAGAAGTCCATATTGGACTAGAAGGAGAAAATTAAAAGAGTGATGTGAAATAGTGTAGGTCTAGCGTGTAGTTCTAAATCATGCTATTGTAAAATGAAAACGGATTGGGTTTTGAGGTAACATGAATGCCTTAACCCAGTCTATTGAAATTCTGATTTTAAAGTTCTGAGGATGAGGTTTGGATTTCAGTATCTTTCAAAGCTCTGCTAATATGCATCAAGGATCAGAGGACAGTGGATCTAATAGGATATAAGTAACCAATATGGCAATGGCCTATGAGTGGCTGCTTCCTCAAAAAGCTGAATATCAACAATTAAGGCAATTTGCATTCTTCTCTCAACAGAACTCTTTTGTACAGCCTGGAGAAGAGAAAAGAGAAAAAAAGAGATGTAGATAGTTAAGTTAGATATATAATCTCTCTGTTTGGATTCAAGTTTCTCACAATTTTCATAGTACAAGATACAATAAAACAAACAAACAAATATTACAAATGCCTCAAAGTATAAAATGGACCCTCCCCTTGCCACAAGAATACAATTTAGTGTTTCCTTTTCTAATGTTAAAATGCAACTTGCAGTTAACTATTCTCTAAACATGTTTCACAGACTACTAACTGGCTCAGAAGAGCAGATGCAACAAAGATTTTTCATTGAATATATTCTTTATGCAAAAACCCCATAATGAATATTAGGCTTTATACTGCTATGTTTATCCTTTTACATACCCATCTATCAGTTCAGTTAAGTTCCTCAGTTGTCTCCAAATCTTTGCGACCCCATGGACGGCAGCACGCCAGGCTTCTCTGTTCATCACCAACTCCCAGAGCTTGCTCACATTCATGACCATTGAGTCGGTGAGGCCATCCTACCATGTCATCCTCTTTTGTCCCCTTCTCCTCCTGCCTTCAATCTTCCCCAGCATCAGGGTCTTTTCTAAGGAATCAGTTCTTCACATCAGGTGGCCAAAGTATTGCCGTTTCAGCTTCAGCATCAGTCCTTCCAATGTATATTCAGGACTGATTTCCTTTAGGATGGACTGGTTGGATCTCCTTGCAGTCTAAGGGACTCTCAAGAGTCTTCTCCAACACCATAGTTCAAAAGCATCAATTCTTTGGCACTCAGCTTTCTTTATGGTCCAACGTCACATCCATACATGACTACTTGAAAAACTGTAACTTTGACGAGATGGACCTTTGTTGGCAAAGTCACATCTCTGCTTTTTAATATGCTGTCTCCGTTTATCATAACTTTTCTTCCAAAGAGTAAGTGTCTTTTAAATTCATGGCTGCAGTCACCATCTGCAGTGATTTTGGAGCCCAAGAAAATTAAGTTTGTCTCTGTTTCTATTGTTTCGCCATCTATTTGCCATGAAGTGATGGGACCAGAAGCCATGATCTTCATTTTTTTGAATGCATAGTTTAAAGCCACCCTTTTCACTCATCTCTCACCTTCGTCAAGAGGCTTCTTAGTTCTTCTTTGCTTTCTGCCATAAGGGTGGTGTCATCTGCATATCTGAGGTTAATGATATTTCTTCTGGCAATCTTGATTCCAGCTGTGCTTCATCCAGCCCAGCATTTCGCATGATGTACTCTGGATTTAAGTTAAATACTCAATATGACAATATACAGCCTTGACATCCTCCTTTCTCAATTTGGAACCATTCCGTGTTCCATGTCCAGTTCTAATGATGCTTCTTGAGCTGCATACAGGTTTCTCAGGAGGCAGCTAAGGTGGTCTGGTATTCCCATTTCTTTAAGTATTTTCCATAGTTTGCTGTGATCCTCACAGTCAAAAGCTTTGGCCTAGTCAAGAAAGCAGAAGTAGGTGTTTTTCTATACACTAGCATAAAATACTAGGAGAGACTCTTTCTTAGAGAAAAGTTTGGGGAAAAGGTGATGAGAATTTAGTATAACTAAACTGAATGCTCTTTCACTTCAGAGTTTGATTTATGTAGATGTCAAGGATATTCCTAAAAATGCCTTAAGGTAGATCCAGCATGAAATCACCTTCATAGCATTTTGGTGTCCACAGGATGCAAATGGGTTGAGACACAGTTACACTTCCTATTCTCTTTTTGCTCATTTTATTTTGAGTTTCCCCACTTTCCATTCATTCCTCAGTCTCCTTGGAGCAGGATTTCCCTGGAATGCTTTATTCCTGTCCAGGAGGATGACCAAACAGCCTCTATTAACTGTTGACTCCTCCAGATGGGAGCTTTTCTCTTCTCCTCTCCCTTCCCGCAAATGTGTAGGAAGGGCCTGTGGCCTGGGTGGTCAGTAACAAGTCATGTGGTTTTGGATAGTCCTTAGACCTTGAAAACATAGCTCCTCCCCTGTAAATTATGGAACTGGACTTGGATCCATTCTGAGGTCCCTGTTGGTGCTCACATCCAGGACTCTCTGGTAGCCTGCGTCTCCTCCTCAGAGGGCAGGGATGAAGAGGTAGAAGAGGGTTCTTTCTCAGTGAGGATCCTCTGCTCCCATAGCAGTCTGTTTCCAGCTGTGTATGAGGGACGCTCAGCACGTCCATCCCTGAATGTGTGGGAAAGCGTACAGATGAAGGGGATTCAAGAGTGAAATGACTGTTGAGGATTGAGCGGTGGGGATCCAGTTAAGGCTCTGAAGCAGCTCTGAGCTGAGACATCACCAAGAACAGGTGGGGTGAGGAGGGGTCCTTCAATGCTGCACCACAGGCTAGAGGAAAGTTTAGGGAGGTATTCCTTCTCAATCCCGGATCTCACTCTCCTCTCCAGCCAGCCTGTGCTCTCCCTTCAGCTCGTCCTGTCAACAGCTCTATGTGCCCCTGGCCCCAGTCACCATGTGGCCATCCCTCCAGTCTCAGCAGGACCTAACAAACACTCACATTGCTTCTTCTCTCCCTCTCTCTGTCTTTCACAGATACCAATTACTTTAGGAACTAAGAGAAGATATTGTCATTTTGAGAAACCACACTATAAAATATACCTTTTCCATTTGATGAAAAAAATCTACAACAACAACTCAATTTAAACCTCAGCAACACTGGAGGGATCCTTTCCTGAGAATGAGCATCCCAACCGACAACCACGCTCCACACCCCAAGGGACAGAATTGATGGGAGTAATCCCAGTCATCAGCCTCGGAATGTAATCCTCAGTAATGTGATCAGTGCTTTGATGGACACACAGTTTGGAAAGACCTGAACTCTTGCGCCTCTAAATATTCATCCTCCACACACCAGCATGGGAACAAGTGGAAGAAGACAACCTATCAACCCGGTCATTCTTTGCCACCAGATGGACTGTGCTCAGAGCAGACAGCATTTACTATGCATTGTTCTTGCTCAAAGTGTTCATCCTGTGTTTAATATTGAGGTAGATGTCAGATAACTGCAGAATTTAGACCTTTGAACCAGACAACTGGCCTGTCTCTCTTCAAACAGTCAATGTTTGCACCAGAAGGACAGCAAAGAGGAGGACAGATGTTTTAGGTTCCAAAGGACTAAAAAGATCGTGTCACTTTATTTCTTTAGTCCTTTGGAACCTCAAACATCTCCTCAGCTTCTTGTAGTTGTCTCTGATGCTCGTGACATTGACTTGTTTGCAGAGGATAGGTCAGTTGTCTACTCAAAGGTCTACATTTTGCAGTTGTCTGATCATTTCCTCATGATTAAATTCAGGTGAACCTTTTTTGTCAGGAACACCATCTAGTACATGCTGTGTGCTTCCTAGTGCAGCCTGTTTGGAGGCTAAGAGTGTCCACTTTACCTGTCACCACTATCGTCATTTTAGCATTGAACACTGTTATGCAGAGGCTTAGAGGATCTGTTCATTGAAAAGACAGGCTTTTGTGTCTGTAATGAGTAATTTGATGAGTGGTATTTTGAGAGTGTATGAATATCATATTCTATGATG